CCGGCCTGGAAGCGTCCTCGACGGGAAGAAGGAAGAATGAAAGAAAAACTCGGCGCAGAAGTGGCGCTTTAGCTCTTGAGTGGGGGATTAACGGGAAATAGACGTTTTTATTTTTGCCCGTGAGGGGTGATGGAGGCCTTTGGCTGCAATGACGTACTGAATTGTCATCCTCGCCTGATCTGCGCTTTGTGGCAGACGCCAGGACACGATGTGCTTTGTGATTCCGGACCAAGAGAAAAGGGATTGTTGTTTTGTCTGGTGTTGGTGCAGTACCTGGCACGATGGTGGTTTTGCTGCATAACTTATATATGTTCTCGTGTGCCTTCTCAGCATTGCATTTGCTAGGTTATGCATCTGCAAAGAAGTGAGTTACAGGGAAAGTAAGAAGAATTGAGTTTCCCAGCTTACAGGGGAAGTTTCATAGGGTTACTAGAAGCTCAATTAAAATACCTCAGTTGTTCTAAGAATTTGATAGTCCTGTTTGCCTAACACCTGCCATTTCCAGTGTTTTAAATTGTTCTTGTGTTTCTGTGACGTAGAGCAAAATCAAAGACACCCAGGTGCACGCAAGCACCCCCGCACGTAGGCTGTAGCACGGTGGAGTTGCTCACTTTGCTGACGTCCTGCGGAGCGTCCTGCTTGGCCTCATGCCCTGGGCTCCTCGGGACCTGGAGGAGCTGCTCCCGGACGAGCGGGTGTCTGTCGAGCTGCCCAGCAGTGGGAGCAGGGGAGGGGTTGTCCCTTGAGCACCAGCGCCTGGGCCGGTCCGCCTGTGCCTCCCTCCGCGCCGGGGACTGACCGTCCTGGGAGGGCAGGGCTGGGACGGAGGACAGGCATGAGACAGCGTGTGTCTGGGGAGCAGAGCTTCGGAGCGTCTCATTAGCGCACCAGGGCACCCGCCGGAGACCTCTGAATATCCCAGTGCCTGTGGGCGGTGTGTGAATTTGGCTTCCTGCTAGGCAGTGGGTGTGAAGACACTGCGAATTCTCATCAGCGCTTTCATTACCTTAATAAAATTACTTAAGGGCTATTAAGTTCTGCAGAAAAATAAGATGTAATCGCCTGTTTCATTAAGTCATCCTTCCCTGAGCCCCCCGAAAGCTCTGCCACTAGATCTCTCTTCCATGTCCGTTTGTGAAATCCACCCCGAAGTGTTGTACGCTCTGCTCTGCGCAGAGCTTGTCTCAGGATAGCCCCCTCTTT